GGGGGGGGGGGGGGGATTGGGGGCGTGTAATTGGACCGGTCAGCGAGGGGACAGCAGCAGGCCAGACGGTTAGTGATCATTAACCGGCTGCCCCCCAGACAGCAGTGTGCGCTCCGCCATGCAGGCCGCGCGCGCTGGGACGGGGCTTCTGCTCGGGCCGTGGGCGCGCGGCGCGTGGGCTCGGACCCGGAGTCACGCGACGGCTGCCCGGCTGGACTTCAGCGGGATTTACCCGCCGATCGCGACCCCTTTTACGGCCCGGGAGGCCGTGGACTACGAGAAACTGGAGGAAAACCTGCAGAAGTACGCCGCCGTGCCGTTTAAAGGTTAGGCCACGGGGGGGGGGCGGGCGGCAGGGCCCGGGTTTGGGGAGGGGGAAAAGGGGGCCACGGGACTTTGCGTGGGCTGCCACGGGTCCAGGGAGGGGGGGGCATATGGACATCCCGTGGCCGGAGTGGACGGGGCAAAGTCCGGGGCCCGCTCAGATCTGCCCCCTGCTGGCCGTGCGCATGCGCAACAGCCGCCGGTTCGAAAGGGACACCAACCTGTGGACTGGGACCAGTTCAAATGTCCAGATCAGACCGGAATTAGGCTGTGGTGAATTATGGGATGCAGGAGAAACTCTGCTGAGGCAGAACTTGGTTTAAAAAAGAGGATTTAATTGTCAGCCAGGTCCAAGTTACCCACTGTGGGTGTACCTGCCCTTATATTTGGTATTCCTGGGGAAAAAAGAAAAAAATGGAAAAAAGGGGGAAAAAAGGGAAAAAAAATATTTAAAAAAGAGGGGAAAAAAAGAAAAAAAAGGGTGGAAAAGGAAAAAAAAAAATTTAAAAAAGGGGAAAAAATAAAAAAGTGGGGGAAAAGGACAAAAGATTCAAAAAAGAGGGAAAAAAAGAAAAACAAAAAAAGAAAAAAGGGGAAAAAAGGAAAAAAAAGAAAAAAGATTACAAATGGGGGAAAAAAGAAGAAAATTAAGGTGAAAAAAGGGGAAAAAAATGGTATTCCCGTATCTGTACTTTTTG